TGCGATGGGGTCCTTTGCTAGTTTGCGGCCTTCATCAAAATAGCACGCGAAACATAATGGACCAGCGTCCGGAATACTGGCAATTTGCGTCCAACATTCTGCCGCGCTCCTGTAAATATAATAAATATAATTTTAATGGCTACATGCGAAAATTTGAGAATTTTGGAATGCCAAATCTCTTTATATCCATATATCCGCCGTAATCCCTTTAAGACCCGTTAATCCTCTTAATCACTTATGTATACCTCCAGATATCCCTCCAAATCCCCAGACATCTCCCTATTTCATTAAAAATAATTCATCCTCAATCTCTCTTAATCACAAATATTTTCAATGCCGCCGTTTCTAACTTAAATCCCTACTCAACTACTATTAACCCCTCTATACCCTATATTTTACTTAGTCAAGCATGCCAGGACTTAGGACAAAAACGTGTGTACTCAACTGAACTTGGAAAATATTAATTTATTTCTGGCAGTTTGAAAAATTTCAAAAATTTAACCAAAATCCCACTAAATTTCCTAAAATTCTAAAAAAAATTTTACAAAAATCCCCATTATTAGGGTTGTATTTTTATTTCGTTTGGTCTTATAATTTGTTATACTGCTTCGAAATGAAAGGACAAATATTCTATATATAGAGGAGCTCAACCAAAAAATTTTTTTTCAAAATAATTTTTCGATAAGAAATGGTCTATATCAGAGAGTGGATCGAGGCATATCTCGAACAATTTTCTCAGTTACCGAGAATGAGATTTTCGATATACCAATTCCGATTCTTGTATGATACTCCTAGTCCAGTTTGCACAACACTCCTATTCCGGTCTCTAGCCTAGTTGATATTTAATAAAATAAAAGGCTCCCACCGATCGCATTCACAAAGCTTCTTTTTGCAAGGATCCTTTTCCAAGCATTTTATTTCTTTTCGACCTTAAAATTTAAATAATTTTAAAAATTTAATTTTTATTAGAAATTTTAAATGTTACTTTCAAATAATTCAGCGTCAATCATATACTTCGTGGTGTCAATATCCACGAAATGTTTCGCTGGCGGAATCGATGGGCATTCCTTTAAAAGTTCGTTGAGACATTCATGATGTTCATTGCAACATCTAAATAAAATTAAAGTAGAGATAGGGAAATCAAATTTTTTTATTTTAAAAGAGATAACAGGACTGGCCCAAACTCCCAAAAATCCACCAAAAATTTATCTTTCGATAAGGAAAAGGAGATCAGACAGAGACAGATCTCCAACATATGTTCAGAGTTTAGATAGTACATCAAAAACGAAAAAAATCTCTCAAACAGAGTTGTCGGTCTCACTAAATTTTCGGCTAACTGAAACCGAATCTACTCTCAGATTACTCGAAACTTCGGTGTTTCGGGTTGGCGTTTCGGTAACTACACATAGATTCCAATATCTAATAAGCTCCAAATTTTAATAGTTATTTATTTAAATTTCAAAAAATTTTTACTTGTTTATCTTTACATCCGTTTCGTTAGTACTGCCGCAGCTAAAATTAAATAAATTTAATTCAAAATTTTATTTAAATTAATAAATTATATTTAATTTTTAAAGTAACTTACTGGCAACTGTATTTATCGTAATACAGAGCTCCTTGAGTGTAATGACGGCAGGGTGGCTAAAAATAAATTTATTAATACCATTTAATTTTAAATTAGTCTTAATACTTACGCGAATCGGTGGCTGTGGCTATAAATAGATAAAATTTAATTAATTTTAGAAATATTAGTTAGGGTTGGAAAAAAATAATTAGGAATTACTAGTAATATTTTTAAAAATTTTTAAAAATTTAATGCATACCGTAGTGGTGATCGTTGTAGGGGTGGTCGAAGTTGTGGTGGATGTCGTCGTGGTTGTCTTCTATAAAAATTAATTTTTAAAAGGATTAATATAGGTATTTTATTTTTTAAATTAAATCCATTTTTACGTCCCTTCACGATTAAAAAAATTTTTTTATTAAAAAATTCACAATAAAATTTTTGTCAATTTTATTAAAAATTACTAAATTATGAAGTGAAAACTTCCAAAATTTTTTTAATTTAAAAAAAAGCCTTGCCTTAGCAGGTTTGTTTTTTCCATCATTCTTCCAGAATTTCATCTATATAAATTTGAATATAAAATTTTTACAAATTTTTGAAATACTTTATTCAATTTTTAATTAATTCTTAATGTCCTTATAAGGGTCAGACAAAGATAAATTAAATTAACAACTAAGCTCTTCACGAAAATCGAAAATTGCGGTTAGCCCCATACATGGGCGAAACGTTGTCGTTTCGATAGGGCTTTTCCTGTTTCGTTCCATGCCTATCTTTTAAGCCAAAACTTTGCCCAAGACAACCCTGAATGCCTACACTCTTATCAACACATAATTGGATTGGGAGTAGGAGCAAGATATTTCATAGGAAGATTAATCGGGATTAAAAGTGATATAGGGGATTAGGAGGAATTAGGGCCACGGGAAAAATGTTGGGACTCATTTTGAACCTAAATAATCTGGAGTTTCACGCATGTCTGGTCAGCACAATCCATGATTTACAGTCCACTCTAATTTATTTTTTAGTCTTAATTCATTGGAAGTTGTATCAAGTACAAAATTGTATGTATAATTAAAATTCCAACCGTTTCGCAAGTCCCAGAATTTCCTTCATCATCATCATATTCGACATAATCCTCCAAAAAAGCACTATCAGCAATAGTCTTTTCAATATCAGTCGGAAATAAAGCATTATATTTATAATATCCATCTTCACACTCCTCACAGTCCTTACAAGCTAAACTATTTCCTTTTACTTGAAAGCGTCGTGCCAATTTCGAATTAGCAAAAGTTTCCTCTTTGCCAGGACACACTTTAAAACTGAGAGAAAAAATAAATTTAATTTTTTTTTGATTATTTTGAACTTTTGAAAAACTGATTATCTGAATTTTTTGAGGATCCGAAACTACATCAGAAAAAATTTTAATATACCCAAGTATATTTTTCTGTAAATATAACAAATATATTTAAAGAATTTTAAACAGAAAATTTAATTATTTTAATATCAAGGCTAATATAATTTAAATTGGAGACCGTATCGAGGCGGGATCTCGAACAAAAATCACGGTTACCGAGATGGAAATTTTTTCGAAATTTAAATTCCCGTATGGCCCTTCCAGTCCGATCTCTAATTTAAATAATTAAATATAAAAATCTCCAACCTATCATCCCCATATCCATAAACAAGCACAAATAATACGATTAATAAAATTTTAATAATTGTATTAAACATTTTATTAAGTTGAATATTTTTACTAAATTAAAAATCAAATAATTAATTTATTGCTATATTTAGCTTGAAAAAATATCTTTGAAGACCTAATAGTATACTGGTTTTTGGTATTTACATGGATGCTTTGTTTAATACGGTACAGCCCAAGTACGCGCGCAGCCAAGTAGGCGCAAAGTCCTAACTTGCTTCATTCTGAATCTCTCCAAATTTAGTATATTAAACGAATCCTCTCATCGAGCTAGAGAGATTAGTACCAAGAAATTTTTTTCCTTTTTTTAATCCAGAAATTTTCAAGCTAGTTATAGACTTGCGCCTACTTGGGCGTGTCACGTTTAATACATATTTATTTAAAAATATTCTTATATTTAAAAAAATTTTTATATTAAAATTATGAGAGAGAGAGAGTTTAAACTAAAAATTAAATTTATTTATTTAATTAAAATGAAAAAAATTTTAAATTTTATTAAATGATTCGCTCGGTAGGCGTTTTCAACATTTTATATTTTTTTATTTTTTCTTTTTTAATCTTTTTTTTAAATTTGATCAGCTGATGCTGATCAGCTGTAAAAAATAATTGATGAATAAATATTAAAAAAAGGCAGAAGCCATTAGCAGATATTTTATATACTTTTATCTCCCAATTTTATCACAAAATTTTTTTTTAATTTTCACTTTCCTTTTTTAATCATAAATAAATATATAAACGAAAAAATCAGCTGACTCTTTTGCTTTTAAAATTTTATTTTATTTTTAATTAAGCTTAAAAAAATTTTTTGAAATTTATATTAGTCATTAATTGACATATAGATAATTATGGAATTTAATTGAACGATAAAAATCAGAAAAAAATTATTTATTAAGCAAAATTTTTTCAAAAAATTTTTTTAATTAAATAAATTTTTGTATGATTCAGTGAAACTTTAAATATCCAGAAAAAAATTTCAATTGAAAAATTAAAAAATTTTTTAGATGAATTTTAAGAGATCATAATAATAATTTTCATTGTAATAAATGAGAAAATGAAACTGAAAAAAAATTCTATTTAGTAAGGTTGTCGGATCCGGAGATCGGAAATTTTCGGTTCGGATATCGTATATATCTTAATATACGAGGATTTCCAACTATCCTACAATCCTACTATTTAGCTATAAGAGATTATAAGAGAAAATATAGGTATTCATTCTGTGATTTTAAAAAATTTTTAAATTTTTTGAATTTATAAATTCCAGTCTTTTCAATATAAAAAATCCAAAAAAATAATTTTACAAAATAAAAAGATATAACTATTAAATATTGGCAAAATTTTAAAATTAGGTTAAAATTAAAAATTAAGTACAAATTAAATAGTTTTAATTTAAATTTTTAACTTAGGTTCTTTAATATTTTTTCATATTTCTTTTTATGTTGAAGAATTCCTATTAGAATCTCTTATAATTTATGGTAACCTTTTAGTTCAACTGTACTTAGAAATTATGTCCATAATTCGACTTTCTCAAAAAAATATAATTTTTCATCACTCTTAAGTTATCTTTCTAGACTATTTAAAAAATTAAATTATCATTAAGTATTATTAATATTTACAATAAATTCAATATCAAAACAAAATTAATGAGTATATTTTAAAACACAAAATTTGAAGAACGTATAATTTAAAAAATGAAAAAAATAACATTGAGTAAATTTAAGAAAAAATTTTAAAGTTCTTTCCCAATCGAATGTAGCTTTTGTTTATTGACTTTGCCTGTTTGTCATTTGCTTTTTAAAATCAGTTTCGGCCACAACGCTCATAAGAAGTTTGTAGTTGATGTTGGTTTTGATGTACAAAAGTTTTGTGATTTTAAGGCCAGTACAATTCATTCCTCTGGCTTTCTGTTCATCAACAGTCATTCCAGTTCTTGAGCATCTGATATCCAGCACAATTCTTTATGATTTTCTCCACCACAACCCTTATCTTCCTGCGCTTGATCCCGCGCCTTATACTTCTGCTTTTCGACTGTTGCTCTCCAGTTCTTCAACGTCTGTACAACGTCTTCAACGTCTTTTCATCTTCTGCATCATCTTTCTTCTCTTTGCGATTGACACGTTCAGAGAGGGCGGCAAGCTTCTTTTCTAACTCAATTTGCTTTTTCATTTCATCACCAAACTGAATTTATTTTTAATTTATCATGTAAAATCTATGTTTTTGTGAACAGGCAGGATAAAGGTAATAAATTAAAGTGAAATTTTTGAAATTTTTTTGGAAATTTTTAAAATTTAAACAACTTGAAATTAGAAAAATATTTCATAATTTCTGATTGATTTTAAAAAATTTCAAATATCGAATGACCTTATTCATTGATATGAGTGTATTATCAAAAATTTTTCTTTCATAATTTATTTTTAAATCCATTCGAGAGGCACAGAAAAGCCTACAGTTGCCATATCAACATTCTTACTTGCCTCCACTTTGATGTTAAGCTCGGAGACGCGGAATGCCTCATACTCTTCCATTTCATTACATTTAGAAAAAAATCCCCCATCCTCGTCTCTATGTGTGACACGCAACCCTGTTATCTTTCCACTCTTATTGCAAGTTGCGCAGCCATCCAACAAAATCAAAATTACTTTCAAATAATAATTATTTAGATTTTTCTACTTATATTTAAATATTTACATTTTCCCTTATCATCTTTTGCAATGTAGTCCGGATGCGTATCATTAAAATAGTGCGCCTAAAATTAAAATAACTTTATATTCTCGAATAATTACCCGAGGTAATTATTATTTTAATTTCTCGTTGTAAGGGGAGTTTTCGATTTTGGGAAAATATTCGGATATACGGAATAATCCGAAAAACCGAACTGGGGCCAATCAAAATTAAGGAGACAATCGACAAACGATAGATATATTACAAATATATCGTTTATCGTCTGGAATATATCGAAAGTCGTCTGAATATGTCAGCTGACGATATTATGGAAATTATCGTTTATCAATTGTCAATTGTCATTTAGCGTTTACCTCCAATAAAAATTAAGGAGACAAACGATATAATAGAAGAATTTCTTCTCTATTCTTTTTAATTCCTCGTGCCTCAAGCATTCTTTTCTAAACTTTGTAATAAAATGTAAAGCAAACAGAGAGAGTGAAAAAACTATGCATCTCACTTCTTTTCCCTCTTTTCCTTATACTCAAACACACCCGAGGACTGAAACTTTGACTGGCCATAACTTGGCCCATTGTCGTTTTACAAGAAAACGAATACTACTTAGCAATAGGAAGTCGTGGGTCCTCTATCGAATGGTACCAAAATTACTTAACCCCATCAATCTTACGAATCCCCTCAATCCATAAAAATTATTCGTGAAGGTTAAAACTCAAAATGTATCTTTTTAATCCCTGAATATTGAGGATAATATATCGATATCACTCCAAATCCCCCAATATTCCCTTAATCCGTCGATATCCCCTTAATCCGCCGAAATCCTCTTAATCCTTCCAATTTTTATATCAATAGATAGAGGAGAGTGTTTTACATACCATTAGTAAAAATCAGAATTTTAGCTTTATTTTCCTAATAGATATAAAAATTTATAAGCCGCTTACTCAAAAATTAAAGTCCTATTTGAAAGAATGAGTCCCTATTTCTCTCAAAAATGGATGTACCTTGCGCGAGAGCCTCTAGTAAATTTATTTTTAAAGAAAAATTTCTGAAACTTATATCAAAAGATAGAGCACATTCTAATCTATCTAAAAATATTTTATTTGGAATTTTAAGTTTGAATTTGGATTTTTAAAAAATTTTTAAAATTTCAAACGATAAATTTGGGGGACAGGGTTTAGCATCCGATAAATTTGTCGTTCAACTACCGTAGTTTTCCGCTTGTTACCATAATAAATTATCGTTTCAAACGACAAACGACTAATTTCGAACGATAACCGACAAATCTCGACGACAGTCGATATAATAGAGACGATAAACGACAAACGATAAAGATATTTATTTTTATTCGAGGTATTCGACAAACGACGTATCCGAACGATAAACGTGAAAAATATATCTATCGTTTGTCGATTGTCTCCTTAATTTTGATTGGCCCCTGACAACCCTGCTCAGGGGTTTATGTTTTACTACAATTCGAAGGAGTTTTTGCCAGAAACCCGTTGGGGTCTCGGAGGTTAGGGTGCTACCATAGTTTCAATCCATCTATGGGAAATAATTTGAGTGATGAGGGTAAGTGATTGAGAAAATATCGTGATAATATTTAAAAATTTACGAAACATACTACATACATCTTTTAATCGTATAAAAAAAAGGATTTCCACAAATCGGACTCCACCTTTATTACAGGTTGCACACCCATCAACCAGTACCAACATCACTTTTAAATTAATTAGTTAAATTTTCTTTATTAATACTTAATTATTTACAATTTCCTTTATCAGCTTTATCAATTTCTGCATGGGTTTATCATCAAAAAAGTGGGCCTGAATTTATGATTTAATACTAATATTCGTATATATTTACTCCAGTTATTCCCTTAAGCCCGCCCCTACCCCAATTATATTTTACTAATATTTATCATAATGTTGCTATTGAACTTAAACATCGGCAAAGCCAGGTGCAAAAATCAGTCTTTTGAAATAAAAGATTTTTAAAAACAACAAAGAATTCGAGAACAATTTATTATAACTAGTGCGCAAAAAAAGTTATAACCTAAAAATCCGCTCCCTACTTATAAGATTTAAACAAAATAATAATGATTTAATCACTACGTTGAGATCTATATTCCAGCAAACTAGATTGTATTGGTGATATTTTTAGAGGATAAAAGCGTACTTTTTTTGAGTATTTAATATTTCAATAAATTAATTTAAAAAAAATAATTTAATAAAATTAGAATAATAATTTTCTTTTAATTTAATTAACAGACAAAATTTATTTCTTTATATAACCCTTTTTAGCCTAAATTAATTTTGATGATTCTTCATGGGAAATTGTTCCAAAATTAATTTTTTTATTAAAATCGTACAATTCCCCTACAAATTTGGTCAAAATTGTATAATTTTAGTTAATTTTAGAGTTGCACGAGATCGAGATTTTAGAAAAAATCCGAGACCGAGATTGACCGAGACTCGCATGACCGAGACCGAGACCGAGATGCAAAATTTGACCCGAGACCGATATCGAGATCCGAGACAAACCGAGATTTTTCAAAACTTTTTTTACCCATTTAAATTAATTAAATATCATCTAAATCATCATCAAAATCATCTGTTTCATCAGAATCAATTTCAGTTGGTGGACCAAGCAACAGTTTATCCATATTTGCCTTTACAACTAGAATTTCTTCCACCATTTCTCCAGGGTTCCGTGACTTTTGCGCCGAGAACATTTGCGCCGCGACTCTTGCGCCGCGACTTTTGCGCCGCGACTTATGCGCCGAGCGACTTTTGCGCCGGGGAACATTTGCGCCGCGACTTTTGCGCCGTCACTATCATTAAAGATTTTCGGATATCCTGCCTTTTTCGGATCCGGATCCTACAACCATTCGCTATAATACACCCTCTTTGGCCTGAAAATCATGCCGGAATAGGGTTAGCAGATCAAAATTTTCTAACAGAAAAAGTTAGCACATCAGAAATCATTTATGATATCGGATCCGGGGATTTCCAAGGCCCAGACCTAATTCATCATTTATGGTCCATAACTAGTTCATCAGCTACCGTACCCCTATTGTACTTCCTGAACTTCCTTCAGTTTCTGGATACCGTTTTTAACCCCAAGGGGTACAATAAAGTGAGGTCCGATTGTATTAATTACGGGGTCGGTTTATTAGAAGGGGTCGGTCTATTAGAGACAGTCACACTATTGGAAGAAATACGGTGTATATATGTCACCGTCTAAATTACTATAGATTCTTGTCCAAATTGAATTTGGCCGATATCGAAGGATTTGGAAAATATCGAAGGGTTTAAATTGTTTTCCCTTTTCGCCTTTCATGTTTCGCTTTTTAAATTGGTTTTCGCATTTCATGTTTCGATTTTAAAATTTGTTTCGGCACACCCCTGGATCGGTATTCAAAAAAGCGGGTGGGAGAACCTGGTTCTTTTTTCCTTGCAAAAATGAGAGAACCTGGTAAAAAACCTGCTAACCTTGAGCCGATTTGCTGCGGCGCGAGCATTCCAACTAAAGAGCAGTGGGAAGAGGAGACAGTTAACGGTAGCGCATACTTTACTCTCTAACCATCGGCAAAGTTGATGTGTATTCGGCCGCGCCTATTTGTCCTGCTCCGCTCTCTAGATAACTAAATTAAAGTGAGCACAACAATATGCCAATATATTGTCAAAATATATTGTCAAAATAAAACTATTTTGTCAAAATAAAACTCAGGAAGGTCAATCTTTAGGGGTGTATACTGATCTCGGATCTCGGCGAGATTAAGTTCCGAGAATCTCGTCTCGGTTAGGTGGTCTCGTCTCGGCAAAACCGAGACCGAGATTGGAAAATGACCGAGATTCTCGTCTCGGTCTCGGTCGAGATATCGATCTCGTGCAACTCTAGTTAATTTTGGGCAATAAAAAATTATTTCCAGAATAATCATAGGACCATTTTTGGGGTTTTTAATTAATATTTGATTGTGGGAAAATTTTTTTAGATAATTAACCAAAATATCTAATTTTAACAGATTGTACGATTTTAATATAAAAAATTAATTTAGAATCCATTTCCCATGAATAATCATCAAAATTAATTTAAGCTAGAAAGGGGTATATAAATAAAAAAATTTTGAAAGGTTATTTAATTAAATTAAAATTTAACTCATTTTATTTTAAATTTAATTTTAACAAAATATTAAATACTCCTCAAATAATATTTTAATTATTCTCTAAAAATTTATCTTCTGTTACCCGAGCCTCCTCGCCAATTCAGCCTTGTTTGGGGGCTTAAAAGCTTTGCAACGTATTGCTTCTGAAAGCATTACAGGGCGGCATAAAAGAATTGACGTGAATGGAAGTTCGACTCACTTATGATGGGACCAACACTTGATGCAAGGATAAGGAGAAATGGGTCGAATTAAAAATTAACTGATAAAACAAGAAGAAAAGATTCGTGAGCTCGATAATCTCTATTATATTAGAAAAAACAACTCAGTTTTGTTGGAGACAACAGAGCTTTCTGGGCTCAGATTAAGGTTTATATTTATTGTAAATTATCCTTTCTTCAAATAAAGATAAGAAAATTTTTTCTTACGACCTTTTAGTATTACAATTAATAAAATTTTTCTAAATTTTATTAGGTACAATCTGAGTCTAATGATACAAATATTGATGTCAGCCCACTACACAATTTGTTATAAAAAATAGCTCCAGGTTCTGACAAGGTTACTACTGTGAAACAAACGAAGTTAAGATAGAATGGCTCTGAAGGCCACCCGCTCCGGAGGTTCTTTCCTTCTGTTGTAGGGGTAATTTCAATTAGTCGATGCTTGGAAGCATCTTTCATTCTATTTTTGTAGATTTGCGCATATATGGCTGCCAAAATTTTTTGAGTCTTATGAACACCTTCAGGATTTCAGCAAACCAAAACAGACTACAGCCCACATATATTGGAATTGTCATTAAAATTTTAAATAAGTGGGTTTCTTCTTTGAAAACATCAAAATGTAAAGCTTTATATGGATAAAAATGATAAAAGCTACAGTAAGAAAAGCTAAACAACCTCATAATATGGCTGAAAATCCACTCAATTTTTCAGTTTTATTGGAGATTATTTCAAGTTTTTTATATACATATTTTTCATTTAAAAATTTTTTTTGTTTATTTTAAGAGCCTAAAAGAGAAGAGACAGGCTGATTTGAAAATAACCGTCCTAAACTTGAGTTGATGGTTTAAGTGAGGGTCAATATAAAATGGTTATTAATTCATTATTTTGGAAATATTTTTTAATTTTTTAAAGGCTTAATGGAATGAATTTACAAAATTTATTAATGGATTTGTTTTGCATATCCTGGAATTTTTGCGTTAAAACTTGCTTTAATTAGTGATTAAAACTTGTTTCTGGCACAAAAGAAATTCCAATTCATGCATAAGGTTTTTTTAAATTTTATTAATGCGACTGACTTGGAATTATTTTTAGTTAAACTTGGCTTCTCTTATTCTTCTAAAAATTGGAAACCTTTTGCTTTTAAATCAAACACAAAACTTGAATGAATCTTCACCATTAAAATTGCTACAAAATTCATTGCCTAATCAGAAGTAAATTTATTGAATATGACTCGCTAGAAAAGTAGATTTGAGATATTGAGATAGAGCGGTCAAGAAGGGTATTAAAAATAGTAGCTGACTTAATAATTTTATGAGCTTTATTTTTTTGAAAATTTAAAAATTTGTATGAATTATTAAACTAATTTCAAGAAATTAATTTTATTTAGAGGGGGATTTTATTAAAATATTTTTTGAAAAAAAGTTTTTTTTGAAAATTTAAATCAGACTTTTAAATTTAAGAAATTAATTTTATTTAAAATTTAACAAGCAAAAATAGAAATTTACATAAAATTTTGCTTAAATTAAGGCCAGAATACTTGGAAAATCTTTCTGTGTATTTACAACAAAATGCCGAAGAAAGATGTCGTTTAACAACACAAATTTAACAAGTAAATCTGACCTCCTCGACGCCTCTTTTGGGTTATATTTTTAAAATATAATTTATAAAAATTAAAAATAGTAGATCTTATAGAAACGAGATTTGCATATTTTCTTGATTAATTACATATGTATATGTATAAGTTTAGCACGAACAGGAATCGATCCTGCGACCTATAATTAGATATGTTTGCCAGCTTGATCACTTTATTTCTTACATTACCTCAAGTATTTATAATTACCCTCCCTTGATTAATTGCCTTTCCCTGAGTGCCTCTCAAGTAATTAAATATACCTCTCAAGTAATTAAATATACCTCTCAAGTTAAATATACCTCTCAAGTAATTAAAGTTTAGTTAATTAACCTCGCTCAAGTGAACGAGTATTTACTCGTCTTTCGAATAATTTCCACATCATGAGAGGCTTATTAATAATAGAGATTTGAAATTAATTAAAACCATTTTCAGCTGTTTTGGACATTTATGGCACTTGGTGCCTTTCGAGCTAGTTGAAGTATAATGGAATTTATATTTACAAAATTTGTTTCAATAAAAATTAAAGACGAAAGGAAGCCAAGGACGATTGCAAGAGAATTCAATTTAGGAACTTTATTAAGTATACTCTTAATTTTTCTTTTTAAATTGTACTTCAAACTTTGATTTTAATATGTACTCATTAATTTTGTTTTGATATTGAATTTAATTTATAAATATTAAAATTACACAATTATTAAGTAATTATTAAGTAGCTTTAAAAAGAATAAATAAAGAGATAAAAAGTTAAGTCATCCGGAAAAATTCTACGTCATTTTGGGGGTTATTGCTATTCACTTCACTCACCAAATGTAGAAGTGCTCTATCCCTGCCCTGCGATGCAGCTCAGTTGGAAAAAGGGTTAAAAGAGGTTAAGTAGACGCAATCCGCATTTTTGTGAGTTTCATTCACCTAAATGCCAAGGTGCCTCTACAACTGAACTTCCAAGCGTCTAAGTTGGAGTTATAAAAAAAATTAGGTAGATGCAATCAGCAAAATGTGGAGGTGCATATATATCACACTTTTGGACATTTATGGCACTTGGTGCCTTTAGAGGTGATTGAAGTATAATGGAGCTTATATTTACAAAACTTGTGCCAATAAAAAGCAATCAGCAATTGCAGCCATCCTTCGATTGTGTCTATATTTTTGGTTAGGTTATGCATTATATCTTCAATTCAAACTCAAGTTTAAACTGTTAATTAGCATCGTTCTCTCTTACTTAGATCAATTTAACCAAGTTTCTTATTCCAAAAATTCGAACTTGAAAAATTCTTGAAATTGCCTTACCATATTTAAGAATAAAATATTTTTCCCATTTTTTATATTTTTCTAGATAATTCCGTTCCTACTGATGATAATTTTATCCTAATCTATAATTTAATCTCAAAAATATTTTTTAAATTTTTTGAATTCATCATTTCCGTTCCAAATAAATATTTATTTTTAACACTTAGTTTTAACAGAAAAATTTTTTTAATTAAACATCATCTGATTAAGTGAAAAATTTTTAGTTATAGCTATCTAAATTTTAATCAAAAATAAAAATATTTTTAAAAATTAGTCATAATTTACTGGATGGATTTGATTTTCTAATTAAAAATTAAAAAATTTCAAATAAATATTTAAAAAAAAAATAAAAAAATGAAAAGAGAAAGGAGTGTTGGAAGGAACAATTAAGGGAATATTCGAGAGAGTGAGAGAATTACTGCAATTTTAAAAAACACAGTTGAATCCTTTGATTGAGGAACCTTTTTTAAAGGGCACTGATTAAGATTTTCTTCTAAAACGACTCTTGTTTTAACAAACCTCTATATTATAAACTAAAGACCGGACTGAGAGTGTCGTACGAGAATCGAGAGTGAGATCTCGTTAATCTCGAGATCTCAAATCTCGATAAATCTCGATCGAAATCTCGAAAAATATTATCGTACAAGAATCAGGATTACGAAAATCTCGATTCTCGATAACTGAGCTATTTGATAGATATCTCATTTCGGTCCGTTCTCAATGATAATACTTATATTTATAAAAACAAGAAAGAGTTGGGAGAATCAGTGAGGGAATATCTATGGGAATGAAAGAATGACTTATTCTAATTTTAAAGGGACACGGTGAATCAGCTGACTTAAATAAATTTTCCAATGATCTCTTATTAAGATTTCCTTCTAAAGTGATTCAACTTTCGAGTTTGAATTACTTCTTTAAATAACAAAAGCTAATATCAAAAGTTTTTTTTATTAATCTCTTCAAATCATAATTTAGATGATTATGAGGAGATGTTTAAATAAACGAAAAATTCTATGTACTATTGGCCCTGAGATCTTCAAGGAAGACTGGCTTACTTTCACCACTGAAGTGAATACTCTCGATTTAAGAATTTAATTTTCCTGTTTCTCGATTAAATACAAATTTCTAATTATATTCACCTTAATTTCTTAAAATTTTTAAATTTTTCGAAATTCAATTAAGTTAATTAACTAATTTATTTTTTGCTTATATTCATTTATCTGTTAATTTTATCTAAAAATTTTTAATTTAGGATTGCTCATTTTTCAGTTAACAAGAAATCAGCTGATTTTTTAAATTTTTTTTAATAAAAATTTGTCATCATTAGCGGAGATAGATAGAGTTTAGTTAGAGATTAAATTAAATTTGTTTTTAACATGTAATTGAGTTTGAATAAAAAAATATAAATTTAAATAAGAATTAATGGAGGGAATCAGTGAGGGAATGAATATTTGAGAAAATGACTTAATGAGTTACAGTAATTTTTAAAGGAGGCATAGCTGTTAAGAGGAAATCTTCGGATATGGGAAATCTTTAGATATCCGGATCCGATATACAAACCAAAAATTTCCAGATATCCGGCTTTTTTCTTCCGGATATCCGGTCTTTAATAAATGAACCTTTCGATTCAATATAACTTTTCATAGATTCATGATTAAGAATACCTCTAAATTGAATTGATTTAAGAACCTAACGAAGGTATAAACTCTCGATATAAAACATCTCACTTTAAAGAACCTTTCAAGTTGTATGAAAATCTGATTCGATGAACCTTTTTATTATATCCCTGTTTAAGATTTCGTTATTAAATAATCCCTCTATCTAACAAACATCTCAGTCAACAATTTTTTCGTATAAAATGCTTTTTCCAAACACCTTCAAGTTGTATCAGGATTTGATTTGAGGAATTTTTTTGAGGAATCGTGGAGAAGTAATCATAAATTGACACTCATTTAACAACAAACATCTCGTAATAACTAACTTTCCATTTTAATATGGAAGTCTATTTAATCTTTAAATTATAAATTAATTTTGTTAAAAAATTGTTTCAGTAAAAGTTTTTTAATTTTCTGTATATCTTTAAATTTGTCTTAGGTTAAATATCCCTTTTCCTTAAAATTTTCAAACTTAAGTATTTTCGAAATTTAATTGAACTAAAAATTTTTTTATTTATTTTGTTAACTTTTTTATCTTTTAAATTTATCTGAAAAATTTTTTTATTTCGAGCACTGCTCATTTTTAAATAAAAAATCAACTGATTTTTCAGTTAGTTTTAGTTATTTTTTTTAAATTTTTTTATTTACTGACTTATTCAGCATTCGTTATGCCATTTATTTTTATTTTTAGTTGATATCCTATTTATCTTTTAATTTTATCTCAAAAATTTTTGTTTGAACATTGCTCATTTCCAATTTTGAACAGCAATATCAGCTGATTTTTTAGCTTTTAGTTTTTTATTTTATTTTTTGAATAAGCTTACATTTTATAAAATAAAGTCATAGGCGTTCACTTTAATCTGGTTAAATTTTTTTCCCTTTTTTGCATCAGCTTCCGCCCTATCTAACTTTCTCTCTATCCGATGCCGTTGATTTAATTAAAGTAAAATTAAAAATTTTAGTGATTCATTTAAAATTAATTTTGTTAAAAATTATTAAAAATTTTAATTTTATAGGAACGCCCACAAAAATTTAATTTTAGTTATTAATATAAAAGCAAATTTTTAATTAATTAATTTCATTTATTTGTTTTATAAAATTTATTTTCAATTTAACCACCTTTTACAATTTTATTTTTATTGTGAGTTAATTTTAAAATTTATTGGAAAGCGTTAAAAATAATTTCATTTTACAATTTGTAAAATCCTTTGAAATTAAATAAACCTAATTGACATCTGTAAACTTTTTGGAAAATAAACTTGTTTTTTACAATTTGTAAAACAAAAAAATCTTATTTTACGATTTGTAAAATTCTTTAAAACTAAATAAACTTTTTTTACAATATGTAAACTTAATTAAACATTCCTTTACAATTATTAAGAATAAATAAACTTGTTTTTTTACAATTTGTAAATCAAAAAAGAGCATTTTACAAATTGTAAACTTTTTGGAAAATAAATAAACTTTTTCTTACAATTTGTAAAATTAATTAAACATTTCTTATACAATTTTTAAAAATTAAATAAGCTTGGTTTTACAATTTCTAAAACAAAAAAATCGTATTTTACAATTTGTAAAATCTTTTTAATTAAATAAGCTTGGTTTTACAATTTGTAAACTTTTTGGAAAATAAATAAACTTTTTTTTTACAAATTGTAAAATCCTTTGAAATTAAATAAACTTGTTTTTACAATTTGTATAAGTTCTAAATTTTAATTAAAATTACAATTTGTAATTTTTAAAAGCAATTTTTGCAATTGTAAAATGTTAAAATTTCACAAATTTTAAATAAAACTTTTTTTTACAATTGGTGATTTTCTTTTTTTTTCCAGCTTTTCCTTCATTCAACCCCTTCAAAACTTTTTTGTAAGTATTTAGAGTTTGAAAGGATCTATAAACTTTTATTAAACTTGAAATAAGCTAAAAACTTTTCTGATTTTTTATTTTAATTATTTAATTGAATATATCTATTTTAGTTTTTTAATTATCATTCTGATTATTTTTTAAGAATTTTTTTATTCAAATATTATTTTTAATTCTTATATTTTTACATTTTACGTTTTAATTTTTTAAAGCTATGAAACTTAAAACTCGCGAATTTTCGTAAATAAAGTAAATTTTTTGAAAATTTTGGAATTTTGAAACTTTTTTGAAACAAATCTCTCTGTTTATCGTAATTAATTCTGCATTTTTCTAAAATAATTTTTGTACTTTTTAATTATCATTTTTATATTAATATTTTTCTAATTATTACTATTTATATTTATTCATCATAGGTAATTCAATTTATTTTTAAGTGTTTGAAGCAACGAGACTTCTAGATTCAGAATTTATTTTTCGAATTTTCGAAATTATAAAATTTAAAAATCTTTTTATTTATCCATCACTTTATTTACCTTGATAATTTTTAAAAGTATTTTTTAAGATTTTTCTCAATTTTTTTTTGTTATTTACAGGTATTTCTCCTTAGTTTCAGTTTAAAATTAAATTTAAATTCCTTTAAAATAATTTTAAATTTTATCTTAACAATTAAATTAAGTAATTTTGACTTAATTTTCGTTATTTTTTGGTTCTAATTTATTTTAAATAATTTCTGTGATAGTTATTAATTGTTCTGAAAAATATTTTCGGTTTAATTAATTAATTTTAATCTTATCATTTTATTTCAAAATTTATTTATGAATATAGGTATCATTTCCGGCCCTGTTCCATCCTTAAAGCTGGTCCGACCCCTCTTGTCTTTACTATTTGATTTTCAAATTATTTAATTTTTCCATCTCAAATTTAACTCAATTACGCCTTTTTATTAGAATAGAGGTATATTTTTTAATTTTTTTTCACGATATTTTTCAAAAATCTTTTATTTTTCCCGAGTATTTATTTTAAATAATTAAAATAAAATTTGGGATTTAAAAATAAATTTTGATCCTTTCAAACTTTTACTTTAACAAAATGAACATGGACGTGCGCGGAAACGGAACGGTGAGTAAACTAAATACTAAAAAATCTTTGGGAGGGATTCAAGCACGACAGAGTTCCGTCTAGAAAATATTCTGATTTAGGTCCCCTTAATATGGTTCGATAGAGATAATCGTAAGGAGACATCGATGACCATACAAGGGCGTCAGTATTTTAAAATGTATTATGTTCATTGATTAGGTACATCAACTCTGATATATATCGATATCAGGAATCTCACTGTTACCCTATACCCGATCCGAAGGAAATTTTAAAAAACCGATTTCTCTCAACCCGTGACATTCCTAGTCGTGATTAATCTCAACCTCATTAAATGGTCCAAGTAAATCTGAAAGGAAGGATTATAAAAAATTTCAAAAAATTAATAATTTATTTAATTAATAACCATTATTGGAATTTAAAAATACATTTTGAAACCATATTAATTAAAAATTTTTATTTAAAGATGGTTATGGTTATGAATATTTTAATTGTGTTTTTGTTGATGTTTGTTGAAAGTTTGATTGATCAGAATAAGTACCCGAATCTTCTGAAGCCTTATAATTTGTATATAGTAATAGAAATAAATTGTTAATATCAATAAATAAATATTATTTAAGCGAACATATGCTTGCCCGAACTGCGAAGAATGGTGTGCCAACGATCCACTTTACACATGCAATTACGATTGCTATGAAAATGAAGCATCTATAGATTACGGGGGGAATAATGATTTAGGTAACATTTGTCGATTTAGGTAACATTTGTCAGACAAAATCCGAAGAGAAAAATATGCATTTTGGACAGGGGTCATTTTGGCGCAAGTGATGTTTATTAGTTGTTACAAAATTAGGTTGTTCCAGTATAAGGCCAAAATTTAACTCCTTGGTATTATAAGTAAAATAAACATCAAAGAAAAATGTTCAATTTTTTTTTCAATCGCCCCTATATGGGTGGTTGGTTATATAATACATACATATATTATAAATTTTGATACTTTAGATAGATTTGTGATTAATGAGCGTATGATTGAAGAGGATCTTTCTGCGTACCAAAACGGGATTGGTAATATTTCATTTTTGTAAATAACCTTTCATTTAATTATTAATAATATAATCTACTTATAATCAGTTTTATGAGCTCGTACTAGTATTTATGTACGAAATACATACAAGTACGGGCAAAAAAACCTGGTACGAAGTACGAAGCCAAAATTTAACTCATACTTTCGTACTTTAAATTAATACAAAAATCTTTCTTTAGAAATATGTACATATATCAAATTTCTTCCAATTGCCCATATATGAGCGTGTGGCTGAGTGATTAAGGGGTTAGGTTAAGGGGGTCGTTTTCACAAATAACTTATGAAAATTTTATTTTGAAAATCATTTTATTTTTACAGAGAGTGATTATGGGTTTTTGGCCCTCTTAAAATTTTTCGTTTGACCAATAAAAAGCGAATTTTTTTAGCTTACGGCTTTCTGAATGTTTCAAAATTTTGCCTACGGCGCTAAAAGGTTTGAAATAGGAGGATATATGACTTGAAAGCCTTCCAAGATTCAAAAATTATCGCATACGCGCCTTAAAACTTATTGTCCTGGACTCCGAAATTTTTTTTAGATTTTTTACATTTTTCTCAAGTACAGTAAGTACTAGGTATGAGTACGGTGTACGAGGTTAAAAATAGGCAATTACGAAGTACGAGTACGAGCAAATCAGAAATTTTAAACACTGCATATAATAAATAAAATTTAGATGCTAAAAATAAAAAGGATGGCCTGAATAAAAGGTTAATATTATTGTATTATTGGAAAAATATTAAAAAACTATTCTTATTTAGTTATACTCCAAATACCCGGGTCATGTATAGAGGACCACCAGAACAAGAAAAAAAAATAAAAGAATTCTGTGCCGATAATGAAACATACAACTGCATCTTTAAACCATTTTACTATCCAGTGTAAGTTTAAATTAAATTTACAAAGTTACGTTTTAATAACTATTAATAAAAATAACTATTCAATACATTTTTAGTTGTTCATTTGATGAATTTAAGCCCTATGAGGATGATATGAAAGAGTAAGTATTTCTTGCTTAAATTATTAGATTTTTACTTAAAAACGAATGTTTTATTTTAATTTTGAATTCGAAAAATTTTTAAAAATTATAATAAATTTCTGAATTTTAGTTGTTGTGAATTATTGAAAAATTGCGATAAAGTGTAAGTTTTAACATATAAATAATACAAATCAAAATTCATAACTTAGCACTCAATGTTGGCATCGTGATAATGAAAGCAATAATACTTTTCCCCTTATTAAATTTCCAAAAGAAAATTCAAAGGTTTGGGCATTATGGAATATAAGAGCAGAACACCCCTTTATGAAAGTTTGTAATATGTAAGTTTATTTTTTATTTTATTTGAAAATTGTAAAAATAGTGAATTTAGAGTAGTTTTTTTGTTTATCTTTGAAATTTATTATATATAGTACTTTAATGCATCTTTGAGTTTGTTAATTTATGCTTATTAAATTGACATTCTCAAAACTGATAAACTCTTTTATTCATCTCCCTCTAAATCACTCAAACTCATTCAATAAAATTTATTAAATTATATTCTCAAAAGGCAATGTACCAACGGTAAACTTGTTAAAAATAATCGTTCCCAAACCACTAAAAACCCCACAATCAAAACAACATTTTCGCCCAAAACTAGTATTCCAACCACTAAATTAACAACCACATCGACCCAAACCAGTACTATTTCTTCCACTAAATTAACAACCCCAGAAATTCCAATTCCACAAACTCCTACACCCAATTTAACAGCAAAAGTTGATAAAACGGAAGCTTTATCGCAAGGCATGAAAGAGTTTTTCGAATTCAAAATTTAAAAAACAAATTTAAGTAATCGTCGGATTCCTCGGAATTAATTTTGTGGTTGTTGGGGCAGCTATAGTCGCTGTAATTGCAGAGTTGTTCTGATAGTCGTTGGTACACGTGTCTGAATATTTTTTGAGAAAAGAAATTCCGGAAAAAGGAAATTTAATAAATATATTTTTCTATCATATAATCACCTATTATTATAAATATTAATTCTATATGCCTTATAAATCTTAAAAATTAATTTTCTCTTTTTTCTAAATTAAGAATATTATCTAGTATAATAAGCTCAAATAATTAAGTCCAATTTCTGATATCAGAAAAATAAACACATTACAATAGTTATGAGTTTCCGACCTGAACCTCAATCCAAATCTCGAAATCCATAAAATATTATCTAGTATAATAAGCTTAAATAATTAAGTTCAATTTCTGATATCAGAAAAATAAACAATTACTATAGTTATGAGTTTAGGCTTCAACTACAATCGGAAGAGGGTTAAAAAACTTATTTCTAGTCCCTATCAATCCTGATTTACAATAGAAATTTAATATGTAAAAGGACAAGTAAAATATCAAATACTTGTTTAATATTCAATATATACTATATGATTAATATATGGCTAATCCATTCTAATTCGGATAATCCATTAATATACTTAATGGATTATAATAATCCATTAATGTTTATCCATTCTAACTAATCAATCGAAAAATTTTTGAAAAAATTTTTTTATCAAGCCTTAATCTTTCTTTTTTGATATCTCATCCATTTCACGTTTAATCCTTAGCTATCTTCTGGAATTTAAAGAAAATTAAAAAATAAACAATTTTCCTCTAAGGGTTGATCAAATAATATTAATTCTATCAGTCTTCTCTTTGTTTCTAAATTCAGAGTATTAGCTAGTATAGTCAATTTTAAAAAATAAGCCTAATATATGATCCAAAAAAATAAGTCTGATCCCAGAAATACTAAGCAATGTTCAGTAGGGATGAATTTTTGACTCTAACTCAATAAAAAAATCGAAACTCGACCCTACTTATCCTTAAAGCATTAAAATTCGGAAAAACATTAAAAATTTGAATGATTTTTTATTTACAGTATTACATAGACAATAAGCAAAATATCAGAAATTTGTTTTTTATATCCAACATACCATAAAATCTCTTTTAGAATGCCCCCTCTATTTGAATGCCCCCTCTAATAGAATGCCCTTTTTGGGTATAATCGAAAAATATAGTGCCCCCTCCGTTTGAATCCATTCTCCATTAGCCTTATATAATCCAGTCAAAATTTCTTTTACAATTTTTTAATAAATCAAAAAAATTTCTAGCAACCTCGACTCTTTCTTTTGTAATATCTCAATCCCATTCACGTTCAATCCTTTACCATCTTATAGAATGTAATTAAACCACTTTAAAAAATAAAAAAAACATTTTTCGAAACACTTTTAGACAATTTTCCGTTAAGATTGACCATCCGTTAGGGTTCTTAATTTACCAAAGTTCACTTTGTATTTACATTCCAGAAACTATAATTATAAAAAAAACATAATAATTATAATAGTTATATTCCATTAAAATATTTATAGGAAATGCGAAAATGGAAAATTGAAATTTGACCCAAAGGCGGCGTACAAGCACGTAAAGGACGAAGTTAGGAAAAATAAACTGGCTGTGATCGCAATATCGGAAGACGTAAATTAATTTATAATTTAAAAATTATTCTTATTTTGGCTTCTTCTAATCGAAAGGAAAATGAGAAAATTTTTTGAAGGAATAAGATATCCAAAATATTAACAAAATACTAACTGGCCAAGGTCCTGAATGGACTAAAAAATAAATTTCGGGGAAAATTGAAAGGTCAATCGGACCTCCTATTTTTTCGTATTGAAAAAATAAATTTTACTCGAGTTTAAAATTTCATAATTTAAATAGTGTATTTCAGTCAGCTCAAAATGAAAATTTTTTTTGACTATTCAGAATATTAAAAATTAAGTGGAAAATAAAAATTCTGAAAAAATAAAAAAAAATCCAAAAATTTTCAAAACCCGTTGATTTACATACCTGGTACCCATTACTCTAATCTTGTCTGATTAACAAAAAATATAATTTTAAATAATAAATTTGAAAATAAATTCAGGCCAAGAAGGCGACGGATGAGCGCCTTGCAATGAAAAAAAGAATTGAAAAATTAGAAGAAATGATGATGGAGGACCGTCGGCAAAATAAGGAAAAAAATGAAAAATTAGAAAAAGAAATAGAGGATTTGAAAAAAGATGTGAAGGAAATAAAGATTGATGTAGAGATGTTAAAGAATTGGAAAGAAATGGTTGATCAGCAAAAGGAGGAGGCCCGCGAGCAGGCCAAAGAGGATCAAGGATGCGGTGGGGATGAAGGGAAAAAAGGAAAGGGTGGAAAAAAAGGAAAGCCAAAAGGCCGCGGCATTGCTGGAAAGGTCAAAGGTGGAATTGATGGGTTTATTGAAGGTAAATTTTTGTTTTAAATAAGAAATTTCGGGCCAGAAAAATTAAATACAAAAAGAGTTTACAACTATTTTTGTAATACATAAATCATTAGATGAATGTGTTTTAAGATAATTAAAATATTTCCAGTCAAATTTTAGGTCCGGTTCTCAGGTTAGTTCCGGATATTCTAATTAAGAGAATTTAAGTTTAACTGTCCCTTCAAATATATAATCCTTCAATATCACTCTATATCACCGTTATCCGTTGAAGGCATCCTTGATCCTTTCAAATCATATTATATCCCCATATATACTCTGTAACCAATGAAATCCCTCCAAATCCATTTAATCCTTCAAATCCCACTTTATTCCTGAATAAATTAACGAAAATGAACTAAAGCGTAGCATTTTTGAAACTTTATTCTTAAAAATTTTTTCCTAAAACCACGCACCCCCACAAGAACCCCGACCATATTTTGCTCTCCCGACCCGAACCCATCTCCCCGATACAATTGGAAAACCCCGTACCCCGACATGCCCGCCCTTGAGCGTTCTTGAACGATCCCTGGTTCACGTTTAGTCTTAGACGCGTGAAAGACAGAGGGTGGTCGCAATTCGATTTCCAGTTTCTGACGTTGTTTTTTTTATTTCCAAAATTTTAGAAAAAATTTTCACAATTTTTGAAGCAATTCTGACTGTGATCTTTTCATAATTTCCAATCTTTTCAAAAATTTTTTCCTGATATTTTCGAATTTTTAGTAAAAGAAGGAAATTTGGCACTTAAGCCTTCCAAAATTCTCAAAATTTTCTTTTGCGTTAATACCTTTAAATCATCCAAATCACAATAGCCTTTTAATTCTTAATCTCTATTCTTTTAATCCCCAAATTCCAAGATCTTTCTTTAATCGCCCAAATCATAAATACATTTCAATCCCTTAATCTTATTACTTTTAATCCCCATATAACCTGATAACCTTAAATCTCACAATATCCTTTTAATCACTTAATCCCAGCCCCAAATATTCTGATAAACCTGTCTGGCACTTAAGCCTTCCAAAATTCTCAAAATTTTTTTTGCGTTATCACTTTTAATCAGGGGAATCACAAAATCCTATTTTCTTAACCCAAATTTCCTAATATACCCAAATTCAATCCTTACTTCACTTATATCTTTGCCTCCCTCGATATCCCACTTAATCCATAAAAATATAATTAATTTCAAATAATTTTCAGACGCAGAGAATATGGTAAAACAGAAGGGAGTAGGCATGGTTAAAAAGGGCTTAAAAAAGACCATCGACACGCTGGAGACAGCGTGCATGGTCAAGACGGTGGGTTTGGGGGCGCCACTTTGCTCGTTGGCGGCCGATGGACTCGGCGAATTAGCCGATTTTGGCGTGGGGCAGTTATGTAAGTTAGTGGACGTCGGAATTGATAAGGTGAAAGAAGTAGGCGAGAAGGCCTGGACAGGGATTAAAGACACCTTTTCGGGGTTATTGATTTGGTAAATCCCCCCCCCCCTCTCTTCTTCTCTCAAATTTATATATTTTTTCAACCCAACCCCCCCCCCCCCCCAAATAAATACCCTATTTTTTAAAATTTATTTAAATATTTTTAAATTAAAAATCGAACCTCGTTTTAAAAACCCTTGGGGCTAAAAAATAGTTGGCCTTATAATGGGGTATATTTAAATAGAGAAGGTCAAATAAAAAAAAAACCAACTTTAAAATGAAATTTATTTTTCATTTTGGGGTAATTTATAACGAGGTTCGACCATCTTTAATTTATTTATTTAAGCTACTTTTTTAAGTTAAGCTCTTTTAAATTTAATTTTTTTCAATTATTCATTAATTTTAATATTATTTATTCATTAATTTACCTCCCCTCCTTTTCTTGAAAAAAAAATAAAATTTTATTTTTTCAAAATAAAATTCTTTAATTTTTTCAAAAATTAAAAAAATCCAAAAAAATTTTATTTTTATCTTCTTTTCATTATAATTTTTTTGTGATCGATTTCTTAATTTTCTAATTAAGTTTAATTATTTTAATTATTATTTTATCCTTATTTACTTGTCATTATAATTTTTTTTAAAATTCTAAAAAAATCCAAAAAACCCAAAAAAATTCATTTATTTTTCGAGATTGATTTTCCATTATTTTTTTTATTATTTTCTGATTATTATTCAATTAATTAATTTTCTTTTAAAATTTTTTCGAAATTTTAAGTCAAATCGAATTTTATGTGATTTTCCTCTTTATTTACTTGTCATTTCATTATTTTTTAAAAATCTTTAAAAAACCCAAAAAAATTCATTTTATTTCCTTTTATTTGTGATTTTCCATTATTTATTAAGCATTATCAATTTATTTATTATTTTCTTTTAAATTTTCGAAAATTTTAAGTTAAATCGAATTTTATCGAATTATTTTATTTCTTTTATTTTTCATTATTTACATTATTCACATATCCACTTAATATATATTTTTTATTCGTTTGCGAAAATAAATTTTTATATTAAAAATTGAATTTTTATATAGCTAAGCCTTAGGACGACTTTAAAACCCTTTTAAAAATTAGAAAAAAATTGAAAAAAAATAAAAAAATCGAAGTTTTTCTTGATAGATTTAAAAAACGTAACTGAGTAACGAAAAAATTAAAAAACTTTTTTTAAAGACTAAATTGAAAAGAATTAGTAAATTTCAAATAGACTAATTTTTAATTAATACACTTCCCTCAAAAATTACCCTATTCATATTACATATGTAGTTAGACTCTCCAAAATATTAATAATATAAAAGAGACCCAAAATTTTTATGTTGAATTTAAAAAAAAATGAAAAATATGAAACGAATTTTTTAAAAAAATAAAAAGAAAATTTTTAAAAATTTTAAGACAAAATTTAAACGCCTTACTGAATTTTAAGTAGAATTCTTTAAACTATCTTTTAACTCATATAATAATTAAAAATAATTAAGCCCGCTGAACTAAATAATCTCTCTCTTCAAAAATCACCACTCTTTTTCTTTTAATCACTATCTAAATATTACCCGGTGTAATTATTTTAGGGCTAAATACAGTAATTTTTAGAGTTCAAACCAGGGTCCATGATCCGATTTTCCGTAAACCTGGTATTTACTATATATTCTTGTTTACTTTTTTGGGATTTTCTAGAATTAATACGTCTTGAATCTTATCTGAAAACCTTTTTAATCATCTCATTTCGAGCAACTCTTTTAAAATGTCTTTGCTTAATATCCATCCAAAATTGAAAAAAAAAGTTGAAAGGAAAAGATGATATTTACTCCTTGACATATTTCTGTTATTATTTTGTATTTCAGAATTTTTTAATTATGATTCTCGAATTTCTACTACAATTCTCGATTTTTGACACTTGTAATCTAGAGTTTAACATCGAATAATAAAATATAAGAAACACATTTATAAAACGCCCTTAAAGCTTAAAAATTAATACTAAAATAAGAGATACCGTATATATTTTATCAATAGCCCAGGGTAATTATTGTTTCGACCTCACTCTGGAGAGGGTAATTAATAGAGTTCGAACCCGGGCCGGGCCCGGACCGGTTTTTTCCGGGCCCGGTGGCCCGGAACCGGGTATTTTTGAGAAAATCCGGTTTTTCCGGGCTAACCGGTTTTTCCGGTTTTAACCGGAAAAACCGGCCCGGGTGCGATTTTGTGTAAAAAAACCGGGTCCCGGGCCCGGTAATTTTTTGCCGGGCCCGGAGTGGGAGTTTTGGAATGTAAATTTGTCCGAAAATGGAAGTTTTGGCTTAAGGATCTCCCAAAATTCTCAAAATTTTCGCCTGCGGCGCTGGAAAAGTAAGAAATCTAGTGGGTTGCGGTGCAGTTCCAGTTCCGGAAGTTCCAGTTGCAGAAAAAGCGGATTTTTTTGGCCTAAGACCTTAGAAGTTCACAAAATTTTCGCCTGCGGCGCTGAAAAAGCGGATTTTTTGCCTCTTAATCCTCCAGTTTATGCTCCACTCTCTTTAAATCCTCCAATATCACTCAAAATCCTCTTATAACCCAGATATCACTACAAATATCCCTAGATATCCTTTTAAATCCCTTAATCCCTTCAAATCCTCATATCTCCCCGATATCTATTATGTGAAAACCCAGAAATCCCGCAGGATCCCGCTAAATTTTAGAACGGGATTATCTCGATTACGGGTGGTTTCTAGTGGGTTGGTTTTCTATAATCCTCAAAATTTTCGCCTGCGGCGCTGGATAAGGAAAAATATGGGGATATTGGATGATTTGCTACTTTTAAATCCACTTAATCACACGGTAACCCTCCACTGCCCTTTTATCCCTTCATATCGTTCCTAATCCCGTTATACCAACTAAATCCATTTGCCTTACACTAATAAAGATATATGTAGACGGGATATCACGGGTATCATTGGGTATGTAGATTTTTTATGTTTTTAATAAATTTAGAAAAAACCGGGTCCGGGTCCGGGCCCGGGTATGAAAAAATCCGGGTTTTCCGGGCTAACCGGTTTTTCCGGTTTTATCCGGAAAAACCGGTCCGGGTGCGATTTTGAGAAAAAAAACCGGGTCCCGGGCCCGGCATTTTGAAAAGTTCGAACTCTAGTAATTAATAGAGGTATATTTTTAATATTTATTTCTCAGAAAAAAAGAATCAAGAAAATTTAAGCTTAATCATACTTTACTTTTCTCTCCTCTTGAACTAATAAACGAGTGTCTTTATAAATTTTCTAATATTAAAATTTTAATAATTTTTATTGAAAATAAAATCTTTTAAACTTTTTTAAACTTAAATTAAATTTAAAAATTAAATATTTATATTTTTAAATATTGTTTTATATTTTAATAAAAGCTCCTTAATAAAATGCCCTTAATCGCATTCAACTCGAATTTAAAATGATTGCCAATCTTTAATATTTTTTTATTTTGGAGGATTATTTTTTGGATTTTTTATGATTAAAAAATTTTTTATGGGATTTTATAATTTTAAAAATAAATTTGTTATGAATCCCAAGATTACAGTATACATATTCTCTCTTATTATCTTTTATGAGGTACATAAATAGAAAAAAATTGGCCTCTTTAAAATTTTTTTTAAATAAATTTTTAATTTTTTATTTAAATAAGAAAAATTCCTTTGACTTAAAATTAAATTTAAAAATTTTTTTAATTATATCAACTTTTATTTTACTTTAAGAATTTTATACATACTATTAAATTTCTTCTATAAGGTATAAAAATATTAAAGAAGCTAATAAAATTCTTCAGAGGAACTTTAAATTCCAAAAAATTTTAATTTAAAAATTAAAAAAAATTTTTAGACAAATTTTAGGAGATTCTAATAAGAATTCTCCGAAATAAAAAATAAAAAAATTATGAAGGAAATTTTAAAGAAGTTTGTTAAAATTTAAATTAAAAATATTTACTTAATTTTTAATTTTAACCTAATTGAAAAATTTAAAATTTTTGCCAAACTTTAATAGTTATATCTTTTTATTTTGCAGAAATATTTTTTTGGATTTTTTAAATTAAAACAAATTTTCTGGGATTTTTAAATTAAAAAATCTTAATTTTCTTAAATCACAGAAGTTCATCATATTTTAACTCATACATACTTATCTCTCATAAGCTAAATAGTAGGGTTTTCGGTTAGTTGAAAATCCTCGGATACCCGGATCCAAAATCCGTACAACCCTACTTAATAAAATATTTTTTCAGTTTCATTTTCTCGTTTACAATAAAAAATTCTTATTAGGATCTCCTAAAATTTGTTTAAAAATTTTTTTAAAATTTTTCAATTAAAAAATTTTTTTCTGGATATTTAAAGTTTCTCTGAATCATACAAAAATTTATTTAATTAAAAAATATTTTTTTAATATAATTTTGCTTTCAAAATTTTTTTTCTGATTTTTATCGTTCAATTAAATTCCATAATTATCTATATATCAATTAATGACTAATATAAATTTCAAAAAAAATTTTAAGCCTAATTAAAAATAAAATTTTAAAAGCAAAAGAGTCAGCTGATATTTCCGTTTAAATATTTATGATTAAAAAAGGAGGGTGAAAATTGAAAAAATTTCTTTGAGATAAAATATGGAGATAAAAGTATATAAAATATCTGCTTATGGCTTCTGCCTTTTTTTTCATCGTTTTATTAATATTTATCATCAACTGATCAAATTTAAAAATCTCAAAAAAAGAGAAAATAAAAAATATAAAATGCTAAAAACGCCTACCGAGCGAATCATTTAATAAATTTATTTAAAAATTTTTATCCATTTTAATTAAATAAATAAATTTAATTTTTTAAATTACTTCATCTTACTCTCTCATAATTTTAATTTAAATATTTTTTTCAATACTATAAGAATATTTTTAATAACTAGCCATAACTAGCTTGAAAATTTCTCGACCGTAACAATTTTGTTACTATCTCTAGCTCGATAAGAGGATTCGTTTATTACTAAATTTGGAAAGATTCAAAAATCTTGA